TAACGCGCGTGCCAGCCTTCGACTCCCCAACAGTGACACCAGAATCGTGGGACGCTTTATCCCCACCACTCCCCCACTCCGACCTACCATCGTCTCCCAATATGGCCTTCCACTTTACGTCCGCCGGCGATCCTGGCCGTTCGAGAGACGATGAGCTATATTTAGAAAAGAGTGGGGGTAAACCATACCACGATTCTGAAATCATTGTTGCCTTGGAAATCCTGTTTGAATATCACTGCGCCGAAAATTCACGTTCTCGACGCGATGCCCCGCAACCTATGCGCGTGAGCAGCAGTCAAGAGACCCTATTCGCATCCCAATGCGGCGATTTTACTTTTCATTTTTAATTATTTTATAATTTCACTTTGTAATCTCTAAGTAAAATAAAAAAGTTAAAAAATATTAATTTGGGAAGCATTTAAAAAGAAGAAAATAAATGTTTTCCACTTCAGTATCTAAATTTTTTATTATATACATACATATTATGTTGTATACACATAAATTATTTTTACAATTAGATGTTATCCTTACAACCCTACTCATTACTACTCTGAACATTCGTACAAAAATCTATTAGATTAAAATATTACGTCATAAGTGTATCTTCAGTCTTTTAAAATTTGTTCAAGATGTGTTTACAATAATATTTATATTTTATCTTTCACTATGGCAATTATGATTATCATTATATTTATATATTTATTTCTTTTTAGATATATACATAAGCAAAAGACTCGTACTTCGTTACTTTCGTTAGCTGCGAAACTTCTACTCAAAAGTGAGGAAGCGAAATTACAGAATAATTCAGCAAAAAAAAGATAAGTTCATAGCAATCTTAATATTTTATCTTATGTTATTAAAATTACTATTTCAATTGTGTTTTTTTCCATTCATATGGGGAAAAGCAAAAGACCATTCGGCATCGTATATACGTGGACCAGCTGCAGCGGTTTTCGTTAGCGGCGAAATATATCATAATTTTAAAAGACTGAAGATACACTTATGACAATATTTTAATCTAATAGATTTTTGTACGAATGTTCAGAGTAGTAATGAGTAGGGTTGTAAGGATACCATTTAATTGTAAAAATAATTTATGTGTATACAACATAATATGTCTGTATATAATAAAAAATTTAGATATTGAAGTGGAAAACATTTATTTTTTTCTTTTTAAATGCTTCCCGAATTAATATTTTTTAACTTTTTTATTTTACTTAGAGGTTACAAAGTGAAATTATAAAATAATTAAAAATAAAAAGTAAAACCGCCGCATTGGGATTCGAATAGGGTCTCTTGACTGCTCACGCGCTTAGGTTGCGGGGCATCGCGTCGAGAACGTGAATTTTCGCCGCAGTAGTATTCGAAAAGGATTTCCAAGGCGGCAGTGATGTCAGAACGTGGTACGGTTTACCCCCACTCTTTTCTAAATATAGCTCACCGTCTCTCGAACGGCCAGCGCACACGGACAGGGTTGGGATACGCTTGTGTGTGCCAGCACGGTGGACGTAAAGTGGGGGTAGCCGGGACGTCATAGTGAGAGACGATGGTACGTCGGAGTGGGAGAGTGGTGGGGGTAAACAGTACCACGATTCTGGCATCACTGACAATGAGGCTGGCACGCGCGTTACAATGTTGTATCGCCTCATGAAGAAAGCAGGGATTGAATGAAACCGTGAACTTTTATAATGTACTTTTATAAAATCTGTTCGTCAAATAAATTCTCATCAAATAAAAAAATTATTTGTCATGCGTCGAGTAAAGATTACCAGAATTATCTTTATTCGGCGCATAACAACTAATTTGTTTATCTTTTATTCGTTATTTGAAATTTTTATTTAAATAAAAATTTACCCATCTCTGGTATCAGAGGTGGGCAACTGATCGTTCACGAGTATCGCGCGGCTGGAATTTCTCCTTTCGATGATCGTGAGCAAACAGTTGCCCACTACCGATATAAATGTACGAATATAATTATAAGATCTAATTTTTATTTTACTGTTTCAAATAAAAAAAATGATAAAAAGAATCATGTATAGCGACCGTCGCGGTGGACGGCGCGGCGGCCGGCAGCCGCCTCATATATGTCAATAATTATTTTCATTAAAATAAAACATTTTTGATAATATGAAGATCGTACTTTTTTTCAAATCCTTCAAGTCCTTCTTTCCTTATCCCTGTGCACATATATACAAGAAAGTCGAAAAATCGTTGTTAGTTCAAAATCTATTTCCGCTGGTCGACAAATGAAAAGATTGAGGGAGCGTTTGCGATTAATTGTATTCTTTTTGCATCTTTTTATGAAATATATGTGTAAGTATATAACATCTGCATTAATTAGGTCAATAAATGATAAATAACTATTGTTTCTCGGGAATGCCATTTCAAGTATTTCGTATGTAATAAAAAAAATTAGCATCATTGCAAGTACAAATAGAAAAGGTTTATCGTTGCACACATTAGTACGTAAGTATTGCTTCATTCTTGAATCTCTTTCAGTCGCACCATTCTGTTCCTATGTTCGGCGAGAGTCGAAATCTCGCCACGAGCCGTAGGTATTCCATCGTTCTCCTGATGGGCAGAATTGTCAAAAATCGATACTGTCAGGCAACACTGTCTTCGCGTAGTAAATACACAAACCCAACTTGATGGTAATGGGGAACAAAATTTATTTGTGGGTATTGCCGTTAGATGTCATATTATTAAGCTGTTCCAATTATCGATTATGTGTTTTCGTTAGTGTCCGATTGATTATATCAGCGCTTCGATCGATTCGGAGTTGGCCCCAAAGGAGTCTCCCCCCTTAAACGTTTCTTTTCTATGTCTTCGCTCGTGTTTATTAATTTTACTCTATTTAGAGTAAATCTATTAATTTATTATATCTATTAATCTATTAATTATTACAATACCAATGTTCTTTTGAGTTACAAATTCAAAATGGAAGAAAATGTGAAAGGAATGTTTTGTTCATTACACTGTTTGATGTACTTGATTTATCTTCATATGGTTTTCTGTTTGTAATACATTTCTATTCTTTCGATTAGTTAATTAGACTTTCGTAAATTTTCCACTGCATTTTAATACATTATATCGATAATAGCTGCGTAGTTTTATATTTAAGCTTTGACAAATATACGTCAAATATAAAAATTAGCAAGTGAATATTCTGAAGACTGCAAAATGCAAACTGCAACCAACGTATTCTTGAATTTAATATATTCTAAATATAAACTAACAAAAATCGTTATTTTGAAAGAAACATAGTCAGTGCACGTGCCAATCTGCGTGTCTAAGCTGAGAATATTCTTTGAATCGTTTCCACAAATAGTGAACCCAGGACATATTAATCATTCTCCTCTTGAATCCCAGTTAAGAAGTTCTTGCAACATCAGCTCGACGGGCTTGTTTAACATAAATGCAAGTCGAAGGAAGTGAGCACCATTTGCAACGTCATGCTCGATGAAGCGCAAGACGATCGTAAGATAACCGCTTAGAAAAATAATAAAATAGAAAACTTGGATGGTAATCGTAAATTACACGAATTTTCTGCAATTTATGGAAGCAGAACGTGAAGTGGTAGTCCTTAAAATTTTCTTTTTAAAAGAATTTTTTCTTTTTCTTAAATTCTCATTTAAAACATTTCCTTAGCGGAAATGTTCTCCGAGGCTTTGTCAACGAGACATTAACAAAACATCCTAAACAATCAGAGCGCATTGAATTTTTTTGATTGTATAGAAGATAATACAGATTACATAACCACAACTAAAATTTTGTTTCAGATCTACTTCAGACTACTGCATTTTTAAAGACTAAATTGGATTTGCAAGTACAGGGTAGAGTTCGTAATTGGAATCACTTCGATACTGCGTAACTAATGGTTTTAGTGAAAAATGTTTTAGATAAAAGTTATGTGGTTTTTCGGGGGACATTATTTGACGTGATTAGTTTTTTTGTGGGATGCGTAGAGGACATATGAAGGTCAAGTGTATAGATAGTTATCGCAGTGGTTCCACGTACGCCACTTCGAATAATTGAAGTTCTCCTAAAGTAATGGCTTTTTGACATGAACAGGTTAATATTTTTTCTACAGAATTAAAAAGAAAAATATGTGATTAGAAAAAAATAAATACTATTCAAAAAAAAATCTTAATCTTTATATGTCCTATACGCATCACCCTACAAAAAAACTAATCGCGTCAAATTATGCCCTCCTCGAACCTTGTAAGTTTTATCTGAAACATTTTTCATTAAAATTATTAGTTACGCAGTATTGAAGTGGTTCCAATTGCGTACTCCACCCTTATACTCATAAAGTGATGTCTTTTTTACATTACTAAAATACGAATTTTATTTCAAAACATTGGCTAATTGATCCCAGAAACTTCATTCAATTATCTCTCCTTATCAGTTCCTTTTCGATTCTTTAGACAGAGCATTCCCTTTATGCCAATAAAGATTTCATGATTTCAGTGAAGTATCCACATACCTCGAACTGTAAAGAACTCTGCCATCTTGATAGAGTCTGACGAACTTGTTCGGGCTGGTTATAGTGTGCAAGTAGCTATGTTTCCCGTTGTAGAAGTACGTATCCGGTTTCCAGATTCTCGCCAGCATCGATATGCTGAGCGCCAGTGTCTCCTTGCCGCCTTGAAAAGCCAAACGTCGATCTACCCACGACTGCCGGAAGTAGCAATCCATCGAGTATGTCTAGACAGGAAATTTAGTTCTTGTCACACAATTTGGCGAGACTCTCGAATAATAATCTGCCAAAGTAACTTAACTAGGAATTAGCTAAAAATTACAGCGAAGTGAATAATTATAGGGTCAAACAATTTATTATTGGAATTAGCAATCCATCGAGTAAGTCTAGTTAGTGTAGTTCTTACATAGTGCTAGTATAGAAGGTGTCCCACTTAACGCGAGCACCATTGGTATCTCACTTGCTTTTGACTTACAGAGAATTTATTTCAATGAATGCTCAAAGTGATGTCCATCAACTTCAATACTTTTTTGCACTAATCCCTCTAAATCTGCTTTTTCTAACCTTTGTGGATTTTTCGTACTCAAGGTCATATGAAGCTCACATTATTATAGGTTATTGGATTGGTTTTAATCTCAACTATGACGCCACTCTGATAAAAATATCTAGTCCCATTTTAAAAACCATGAAATTTCGAAAAATATAACCTGAGAAAAATTGATGCTTATCATAGTATTTGCTGCTTCTAATTAAATACTTTTCCTTCACATTTTTGTGTATCTTGAAAAACAAGTGAGATATTGAAGGTGCTTACATTAGGTGGGACACCCTGTATATGTTCGCTTCTTTTTAAATCGTACCATTCTTTAGAAATTTTCCCACATCCGTCAATCTTGTGATTCAACACAAATCACATGACGAAAACAGCAACTCGTGGTCTCGTTTACGAGTTCTAAGCTCAAACTTTTCATCAGTCGCACAATATTAATTTGGCATGCGACATTTTTCGATTATTGCAATCGACGCAACAACAGGAAATTATTAACAATAAAGTAATGTTAGACAATATAGTCACAAAAAAACTTCGTAACTCAAGGGGTTAAAAATATAAAACATGTTTCACGTAAGGGGTAAATGGACACTGTCATGAACAGCTCTACCTACATCAATGTTCGTTTGTAACACTTAAAATTATTGCTCTATCGAATGAAATGTGGTTGATAGTAGCGAATATTTGTTGTTGGTCATTGCATGTTCGTGTGCTCCGTAAGAACAACAAAAATGAACGATAAAATACGAACCATATCGACTTCCGATATCGGACCCATACTGCGTACCATGATGTCGACCTCAACGGTGGCCGGTGGCCCACCGAAGTCTGGTCTGACGCTGTTGTCGTAACCGCGAAGCAGATTGTCCAGTAGTTCGCTGATGTTGCTGTGATTGTTGCTTTGCGTTCTCTGTCTTGTCGAGATTTTTGCCCCTGTGGCTGTTCTGAAATATATATAAATTGGTCCATCTATAATGTACCGAGGTTTGACAATTACTCTTGGCAGAACATGTTTAATTAAATAGCTCAATTGCAGAAATTATTTTCGTTTGCATTAAAGGTAAAAGCTACTGTTATAGTATACAGGATGTTTAATTTAACTTGGTCACAAACAGTGTATATTAAACACTTTTCCATACTCCAACTGCGATTGCTTAGGTGTCTGCGCAGTTCGAGAGACGCTATTTTTTTATTTGTTCACTAATAAGGAATGTTCACGATGTGATTCACGCCGATTTTCTTGTAACTTTGTTCGATTGTTTACGGGACAAACCTAAGAATTTTACCGTACCTGGTTGTTGCATTTTTTAGATTTTAAGGGAGAAACCACCCTTTCTATCTGAAGCGACCCTTTCCCGAGCCCAGGATTCATTGGCCCTTAATTTTTCTAGCCTGTGCCCGTTTTTTCTATTTATTATACTTTAATTCGATAGCTTTCCCTAAGCTCGAATACATTTTGCTAAAATCTCAATTCCGACTTAGCATGGACTATAAGTCTCCCCCCCTCCGCCCCCCGCACTAGATTCTTCATGTACATTAATCAATACTGTGTCAGGCAGAGTTGGCACAATTTTATTCGAATGATACATTGAGAAAACATAAGCATCTACGATCGTCATCTTAACTTTTAAACACTTAATGAGACTAAATAATAGTTTGCCAAAAGTCTACTCATTCAAGGATTTCTGTTGGCCATATTAGTTACACCTGCCTTCCTGTCACAAAGGATGCGTATCGTGATGTATTCGCTTCGTGTTCTATTTCCAAAGGAACGATCACAGGCGAGAAGGGTTTCACTTTTTACATCTAGAATGTGATTGTATTAAAATGCACTTACAGGAAAGATGTGTAAGAAGTGATTAAATTGGCGAGGGCCAAAAGGACTCGCTGCTTCATGATGTCCTTGGATTGATCCTCCCGTGGAATGTGTACTGGTTCGTTCATCAATTCTTTTCAAACGCCGAGCGTTGCGACAGTTTCTGCTTCTGAAACAAGGCAAACATTATATTTATTTAAGTCATCTATCCAGTAATTCCGTTTTTATTTACATACATTATACATTTAATCAATGTTAAAATTATAAATTTGAATTACGTGTAGTATAGGGTTAATAAACTTAAGATTAAGATGCTGTTACGAGCCAGGACTAAGCGGTTGAATATAAGCTAAAATTGGTGCGTTTTCGGTGTCCTTTTTACTTTGAACAATATTTCAACATATTTAGATGTCTATAATATAACATCAATTTATATCATTCTGTTCGGAAAAGTCCAGAGAATTGTTTTCTGCTAAAAGAAATTGAATAAGTATCACTGTAAAAGCACAACGCTGCTCCAAAATTGAAAATTTGCAATTTTCTTACAAATTGATTTTTTTCAAAAACTGGAAGTTCCGGAAAAGAACGGTTTGCAGATTCGTATTCAGTTTATAAAGATCTGCATACCAAGAACACCTATTGGAGGTTACAAAAACGAAAAAAGTTAAAATTTGTTGCACAGTGTTGTTAAAGCTATAGAACAAAAAATATGTTTTTTGTGTTTGTGTAGAAATAAAATCACAATATCAAGGTTTGTAAACTGGATAACATTTAATTAACAATTGTCCACTAAAAGATACCACAAAAAATTAAATTTAGCTTATGTAATTGTAACAATATACAGTTAAAACCGTCAAATCGTCAATTTATGCAGTTGTCTCTAATGATTTCATCACCCACTGTAATTCACTTAAAAAAGTATTGTTATTAGTGAGAGTAGTGAAAGAACACGCACAAATGGATCCGCTCAAAGTTGATATTTTTTTGTAATAAACATGTTTATAATAAATGCATACTTTACCAAATATTCTCGCCACCTTATTATAAATTTTAATCAGTTATACATACCAAAATTTTTGTATCATTTCGATGTGCGTTTTCTACCACTTTCAGAGACAGCAATATTTTTTATAGTAAGGTGCGTATAATAATTTCTCAGGTGAATAGATTCGAATGTACAGTTTACGTTGAACAAGAATTATGCTAATATTAAGTGTAATTCCTAATTCTGTTTTTTAACATTAACTGAATACGTGAAATATACAGTACGTATGGAATGAGCGAATATTTCTGTCAGTAATATGTGTTCAAATCATTAGTTCTACACATTAAAACAGGAAATTATTGAATAAATCAACGTCTAATTATTTGAAAGTGATCAGTCTAATCTTTTGATCACCTGTACCTTGTAGAATCATTTTCCAATTATTCTTCAGAGACTAGTGTTTTTAATATTTCCAAACGAGGAAGTCAAGTTTTTCTGGTTAATCTTTTCATTGCACATCGATATTCTACGTTACGTCCGCACTTCGTACGTCTCCGGCCATTAGCTCTGTTATTCACAGGACAAACGTCAACGATAAAACTGCATTTCATCCGTCATCAGTGATGATTCGTGTCGACGAGTGGAAATACAGGTCGAAATTATTCTACTTTAAATTCCGCGGTAAACGATGCACACGAACCGAGGAAAAACCCATGTCAAAATACGGATCGGAAGTTCGTTAACGATCGGGTGACTGATATGCTGATGATAGAACGACCTCTCGAGGGACAACTAATTAAATAAACGCTCGATCGGAATTGGTATAAATTGAACGAAGCGTAGCGTAACCATAGAATCGAGTTACGCGCTCGAATAAAAAATTATTTTCTATTCTCTCAAGAAATTCTGTAGCCTCGGTATTCGTTTGCTGAAATAGGACGATGGATTCTCAGCAGGGGTGTGCGAGTACCCAACATTTCGGGATCGGGACGGGTCCTGAAACATCTTCGGGTCTCGAAACATATTCGGGTCCTGAATGATATTTTCGAAAACTTTTCCGTCGAACGACAAAAAATTATACTATACAATACTATGCCATACTGAATCTTCAGATTCATGATATGAACTATAAATGCTAAATAAGTTAACGATTCCAAATGTAATCCTGCGGTTGGACAGGGTTAATAATACAATATTCAGTACACATTTCTTCGTACGTTATGTCTTTATTAAGTAAAATAAATAACGTGGCAGTATTAGGGACATTTAATCTATCATACAACATACAGGCATATATAATATTATTTTAAATTCTAATGTAAAAAATATAATTCCTCGACATTGTCCGGCAATAATTATGTTTTTACATTATAATTTAAAATAATATTATATATGCCTGTATGTTGTATGATAGATTAAATGTCCCCTTCCATTTGGAATCGTTAACTTATTTAGCATTTATAGTTCATATCATGAACCTGAAGATTCAGTATGGCATCGTATTGTACAGTAGAATTTTTTGCCGTGGGACGGAAAGGTTCTCGAAAATATCATTCGGGACCCGAAGATGTTACGGTACCCAAATATGTTTCGGGACCCGACGTCTGTCGGGATCCTGATGCGATTTATACTGTCGGGATCCCGGCC